TGCTATTTGGCGACTAAGCGCGTCGACGTGTGTCATACGGTGTCCAGCTCTATGTATCGTTTTAAATTTATATTCTTGTAAGCTTAAAGTCCAGCGCGCGATTCTAGGGTTGAGATTAGCTTTATTTATAGCATATACCAAAGCATTGCAATCCGTTACGACTGTGAATTCAATGCCGTACAAATATATGTGAAACCGCTCTATAGAACGAACTATTGCTAACATTTCTAATTCAAAGCTGTAATAATTTCTCTCTGCCTGATTCGTTGCTTGACTATAGTACGCGATAGGTGCCCAATTATTATCACTCTGTTTCTGCAAGAGGATTGCGCCCAGCCCTTGAGAACTCGAGTCTGTATGTAGTTGCGTTTCTGCCGCCGGGTTATAAATGGTTAAAGTCGGGCTTGATATTAATTCAGATTTTAACGCGTCTAACGATTTTACGCAGTCTGAGTCAAAATTGAATTAAACTGATTTTCTCAATAGATCGTACAACGGTTTCGCTTTAGCGGTATACCCTTTAATAAACTTCCGAAAGTAATTCGTCAGTCCTAGAAATCGCTGGACCTCAAGTACATTTCGAGGTTGCGGAAAATTTTTAATTGCGTCGACATGACGCGCGCTGATAGTGATTTGATTCGCATATAACACATACCCTAGATATTCAATTCTATTTTTTAGAAATTGACACTTGTTGAGATTTAATTTTAGATTATAACGCTTTAATTCGTATAATACTTCTTTTAGAATTTCTAGATTTGAGGCTACTGTGTCCGTGGCGATCATAATATCGTCAATATATACTATAACCTTCTCGGCGCGTATTAGCGGTTGGAGTATATATATTAGACGCTTCTGGAATTCGGCCGGTGCCTCGCAATATCCAAATGGAAGACAATTATATTCAAATTGGCCGTCCGGCGTCGCGAATGCAAAATACTTTGTGTGGTCCGGATGGACTCTGATTTGGTGAAATCCATCTTTTAAATCCAGTAATGTGAATACTGTTTTACTTCCTAACCGAGATATACAGTCCTCGATTAGTGGGAACGGATATTTTTGTTTCGCGACTCTAGCATTTAGTGGTCGCAAATCGACGCACAAGCGTAAAGTTCCGTTTTTTCTTTTAACCGGCACTACTCTGGCGCACAATACGGTGAAATACTTTTCTTTATTATCCCCTGCGCTAGTAAGTCGTCTGTTATTTCCCGAATTTGCTTTCTTTCGGCCTAAGCAAAACGGCGAGGGGCATACGCGTAAACTGTATCGTCTTTAAGAACGACCTTTACCGCGTAATCGTCCTTTGCTTCTGGAATTATTAAACGATCGATTTCTAATATTAATTCTTTTAATTGAGTTTTTGCGGATAAGTCAAAATCAATGACAATATCATTTAGAGTATCTTCAATAGTATTTTCTACTTGACATGCTAATAACTGTAGAAGAGCTATTGGAAAATTATGTGTAACTTGGTCGTTATTTACCGGTCTTGGATTATAAGTCGCGGTTATTTTTGATTATTGAGAAAATCTCGACCTATAATTAAATCCGCGGCGATACTATTTTCTTCAAGGATGTATAGAGTTATTTGTAGTTGCAAATAAGGTAGTTGCTCTAATATTATTGTCGTTTTTGTCAAACCCGAAACTTGTATCGGTTTATTATTTAAAGCCTTGTAAGAAAAACCTGAAGGAGACAAATGTTTAGCGGAATGTTCCAGAAACGTCTTGTATATATCTCGCTTGACAAAAGAAATCGGACTACCGGTGTCAACAAGTGCGAGCAAAGAACAATGGTTGTTATTTAACCTTGTTATTTTCGCGAGTGCCTCATCTATTATAAGATTCCTACCGTTATCCGGCAAAACTAAAGCGATCGAGTCGTTGTCTTCCAAGGTGACCTCCGCTGTTTCTACGGTTGCTACTGGAGTTGACTGTGGTGACGTCGTCGTTTGTTCCTTTCTTCTTAGCTTGAAGCAATCTGCACGTAGATGACCCGGTGTTTTGCAATATGCACAAAAAGTGGAGGACTTTCTACAGTCCTTTTGCAGGTGCCCTTGTTTGCCACAGGATCCACAACTGGTTGGTGCATCCTTGGATTTGAAGGCTTTTGGAGTCTGTAACGGTTTTCTGTCGCCGTCCTTCGATGCCGCTGTGATTTGATGCATTGTTTCTAGGAAATGGTCAACTGAATCATTTTTAAGCGAAGTTGCTATTTCCCTTAACGACCTGCTACCAATCCCACTAATTAAAAGGTGGATGGTACTATCCGTTGATAAATCTAAGTTATGTATCAACGTTAATTTATCCATCGCGTATTCCAAGAAAGATTCCCTGGCGTAATTCCATCTACGGGCCTCGATTTTTTGTATGGCCAGATGGTATAAGATTTTTCTCGTAAATCTTTTAAGAATGGCTTCCCGGAAGCCTGTCCAGGACTCTAACATTGAACCCGAACCCAGATCGTACCAGCGTCGGGCCGTTTTGACTAACCTTGTCGTCGATGCGAGGAACGTAATGTCCTCGTGTGCGCCGTGAATGCGTGATACTTGCTCGACACGTTTAACCCATAGGTCCACGTTTTCGTCTTCTTGGCCTCCGAACTCCGGAATTTGTGATGCCAACATCGAGACGGCGTGTGTAGATGGTGCAGCCGATATCGCCGAATGCTGTGATTGACCCTGACTCGAAGGAGATGGGGCTTCTGACCTCGGCTGTCTCGATTGATACGACGATCCTTGATTCGCCCGTTCCTGTTGTTGGTCCCTCGTAAGAGGTTGTAGCAATTGTCGGAGCAGCTCCTGCTGCTGTAGATGCTGTTGTAGCATGGCCTGCTGCATTTGCTGCATCTGGTTGGTAATCGCGGTCGCCAGCGCGTTCATCGCGACTCCTGTATGTTCCTCCTGAACCTGAGTGGCCTGTCTTTGACTAAGTAGGTCCACTGCCGGACTGTTACTCTCGTAATGAGCCAAGAGTTGTTCGATCATTTTATTTCGATCGTCTGTTGAAGGAAGTCTGTAGCGGCGTGTTTCCGCTTTCAGTTTCTCCGTTGACATTTTATCAAATTGGAGAGGATCCATTCTTGATTACTTTGAGGATGTAGTGAATCCCGCTTCTGATATTAATTGTAGAGTAATCGTTATACTTTATTTAACGTTAACTTAATACAGTCAGAACCGAAAGGAATTTTACTAGTAGCTTTTGTATAAGTTGACAGCCAATTCTCAAAATCTCAAAGGTCTCTCTCTCTGCGTTCGCTGAGTTACGCCGTTATATACTCGACTTTTCACATACGTCATAAATCGATACCTATCGATATGCCTTGTGTCATGACCTCATTTGTGCTTGTGAGCCCGACATATCTCGAACTCGAATTCGCACTCGAACGGATTTTAGGTCTAACGGGTGTTCTATTCACATTATTGATAACGGGTGTTTTTAATGTTACTACTATCTTACAAATCTTTGCAAACTCATAAGAAATAATGGTGTATGGGCGACTAATGCCCAACCAGCCATAAAAGAAGAAGAAGAAGAAGTATTATTTTGATTATTTCGAAAACAAACGAGAAAAAAGTTTTCATCAAGATCTTCTGCAAATCTCTTTGTTTTGCAATTGGTTGATTTTATTATAAAATACACAACTCCGCAATATTGACGAACTCTTACTCATATATAACAATAAGTAAGGATATTTCATTACTGAGAATGACAAGTTCAATGAATGCTGGTTTGTTTGTTTAAATCCGTAAACTCTTTTTGAATATTTCAAAAATTGTACTGCTAATTAGTATGTGTGATGTATATTGTAAAGAAATTTAGATTTAAAAAAATTTTATTTTATTTTTTTATGTATGCAAAGATTCTCTAATCACAAACTCTGAGGTTATGAAAATATGTTGTTTTATTAAAGTAGGTATTGTTTATTGCGTATGTTAAAAATTGAAGCTTTAAAAGTTACATAGATTTTTATGCAAGTTGTGTGTATATGTATGTATGTATGTCTGCTTGTTATTTATATCTTGTACTAAAAAATGATACACGTTTTAACTTTATATTTTTATTTAGGGTTTCTATCCATAAAAAATTTTGTGGAGACATCAAGGGAGGGAGAGAGAGAGAGATTTATTTATTTATTTATTGTAAAAAGTAAACATTTGAGTTTGATCAATCTTGTAAAATATGGCGCATTACAAAGGAGCAGCAAGCGAAGCTGGCCGAGCTATGCAGTTAATGAAGAAGAGAGAAATTGCCCAGCAAGAAATAGAATTACGAAAGAAAAAAATTGAAGATGATTTAAAGATTCATAATATAGAGAATAAGTTTGCAACTCATTATAATGCCGTTGAGCAACAATTGAAGACTTCCACGATTGGATTAGTTACATTGAACGAGATGAAAGCCAAGCAGGAAAATATAGTAAAAGAACGTGAAAGAAAACTTGCTCAAAAAGAACGAGAAAAAGAACAGGAAAAGGAAAGAGCACTAGCAGCAAAACAAGCGGAAAAAAATAAACAAAAAAGACAAATTCAAGCTTTATCCTTTAACTTAGACGAAGAAGAGGAAGCCGAAATCTCGGATGATGACAGTACAGAAAAATCTGCAAAATCGGAAAATATCCAATGCAATGAGCCTGTTATTAAAAAAATCAAGAAAAATCCAGATGTAGATACAAGTTTTTTACCAGATAGAGAAAGGGAAGAGGAAGAAAATAAACTTAGGGAAGAATTGAGACAAGAATGGGCTAGAAAACAGAATGCACTGAAAGAAGAAGAGATTGAAATCACATTCAGCTATTGGGATGGATCTGGTCATCGTCGAAGTGTTATAATGAAGAAAGGTAAACATTTAAATATAAGATTATAATTATTAAAACAGTAGTATATATATATATATATATATATATATATATATATATA